AAAAAAACTATAAAATACTACAGCATATTATATGTACCCTTCACCCAATTTCTTAGGTGTTAATAATTTAAACATAACCATTTACAACTAACAAAATTTGGAATATATTTTTCTTATAATCTCTTTAATGTTACTTAATCCATTTACTTTGTTTTTGTTAATCTTCACCCAAGGATATTTTTCCATTGAATTTTAGAGAGAGTGAAGGGAAAGGGAGAGACACATTGATTGGTTGCCTCCTGCACATGCTTTGATAGGGACTGGGGATCAAGCCAGCAACTGAGGTACATGCCCATGACTGGAATCGAACCTGGGACACTTCAGTCCACGGGCTAATGCTCTAATCACTGAGCAAAACAGGCAGCAGCTTAATTCATTTACTTTTAATCTATATGTGTCTTTATATTTAAAGTGGGTGTTTTTTTTTGATTCGCCCTCATAATCTGCCTTTTAATTGGTGCATTTATGCCACTGACTTTCAGAGTGCTTACTGATAGAATTACTACCATATCAGGCGGCTTCTGGGGCTTCTGGGGCAAGGCGGGGCCGGCTTCTGGGGGCTTCTGGGGCAAGGCAAGGCGGGCTGGCCTGCCCTGGATGGCGGTGCGCTGGTGGCTCACGCTGTTCCGCCCTGCCCGAAGTATGCAAATTAGCCGCCATCTTTGTCGGCAGTTAATTTGCATATTGTGCTGATTAGCCAATGGGAGGTGTAGCGAAGGTATGGTCAATTACCATGTTTGTCTATTATTAGATAGGATATGAATTCAGTGAAATATATATTGTGGTCCAATGTAATCTGTCTATAGAAAAGACATAGAAGGGCATATACCAAAATGTTTATAGTAGTTACTTTAGGGTGGTTGGATTATACTGCATTTCCTTTTTATGTTCTTGTTTTCTAAATTTTCTGCATTAAGTGTACATTGATTTTATAATTAGAAAAAATAACTGGTATACAAATGAGCATTGGCAATTAGAAAAAAAAGGTTTAAAGTTCTCACGTGTATATTATGTTTTTAAACCCTAGTCATCATTCCCAGGATTGAACGCACCCTTGCTTATATCATTGCAGAGCTGGATGAGAGAGAGCGAGAAGAATTCTATAGGTTTGTTGGAATTGGCAGTTATTGATCATTTTCTGTTTTCCATATTCCAGTGTCTCTATTTGCTGAGAAATTTGTTGGCTTCTGTTCTTTAGAATTAGCATAGCTTGCATTTTACTCTGATTTGTAAGAAACAAGAAATAATATTGCCAAAGGCTGTGAGGACAGATCTATGCCAAGTTTTGCACATACCTAAAACAGCAATCTCCAAAAGCTTTGGTCAGAGGAGCTATTAATAGACTTGGTTATTTTAAAAAGTGCAACTGATTTATGGGGGTGTCTGTCTCCCATATAAAAAGAAACTGGATTAATCAATCAGTATGTATTACATGTTGACGGTGTTCCAGAAGGGGACATCACATAATAGTGTAAACCATACCATTAGAGAATTGGTGCAGTACTTGGAGAGAAATGCACGTATATAATTGGTTATGAACATTCAGAGCTAGTAGGGTCAATAAATACTAAGTAGGTGGAGTATAGGGTCAGTGTTCCAGGTTCCAAAGTGGGAGACAGATGAAGGCAGGCATATTCAGGGAAGACACGGCCCTCTTAACTCTGAGCAGCGTCTGAGTATGATTTATAATCTTAATTATCAAAGTTTATTTAGTTCTGTCCTTCAGTGATGTTTAGGGTTGTGGTGAGCCAAATGGAATGATACAGAATTTTAATAAATGCCTAAATGCTCAAAATCTGTTCCAATATCAGGAAATAGATTTCAAAGTTTATTTACCTTGGGAATAGGAGTTTTTGAAATTAGTTATTAGCTTAAAATATGTGTATCCTACCTCAAATCTTCTTTTAATGGGCTATAAATTACTAAAATTGAAATTAAAATAAAGTTTTGTTCTAGTTTGTGCTTATTATCCTTGTTACAAAACTAGAAGAAAGCAAATCTACTTAGTACTGAAATAGCATTCAGAAAAACCCTTTACTTTACAGGTTAAAGAAAATACAGGAGAAGAAAAAGATTCTCAAGGAAAAAACTGAGAGGGAATTGGAGAAACGGAAGGTAGCTGGAGAGGTGACGGAGCCTGCCAATCTTCTGGCTGAAGAGAAGGATGAGGATCTTCTGTTTGAGTAATCTTGCCTGCTCTGGTTCTTCTTGCCTGCTCTCATTCTGTTCTTTCAGAAGTTCTGACGTGACATCATTTTAGTTCAGTGTGTAGGTTTGGTTCGTGTGGTTGTTTATTTTTTGGTCTAATTTCACTGGTTGTAAAACTTCCCTGGATGTCCATTTATGGGTTACTTTTGCAGAATCCTAATTTACCAACCATTGATCACAGATGAGATTTAGAGAACCTGCCTAGGAACTTGTAGAATTTATTCTGCAGAAGTGTCAACCCTCCCCAATTATAAATGGTTACAAGTGATTGGCTTACCAAGCATATTAGGAAATTCCCCTTAGGAACCACAGTGGTCTCAGGCCAATACAAGGAGGCCAGCTACTGTAGGAGCACTCTCCATTCCTACCCACCCACACCCCTGGTGCTGCTGTCTGACATAGCTGCAGCCATCCTGTGTTTCTGTGGTACTTCTCCAGCTCTAGGAAAGCCTTCCCTTAATTTACCTTGCATGACAGGTCTCTGTTTGTTCTGTCATGGAACAGTTGTGCCAATTTGCATGTGACTGTGGTATAAACAGTAAAATGATTAAAAAGAAATTAAGGAAACAGAACTTAATATCTGTGCCGGTAGGGAGTATTCCTCTATGGTGAAGAATAAGTTAAAAGATGTGTGTGTTTCACCCAGAGGTTCCAATGGACTGACTTCTGGCACAAATGTAAAGACAGGATGGTCGTTAGATATGCTGAAACCTTAAATGGCAGAGGATATAAATAAAGCAAAAAAAAAGTACTTGGTGGCTTTTTTTTTTATTTGAAATATAATTTTACTTTTTATTTTTACAATACAGTGTGCAGTATAACATCTCAAAATAATAGAGTGCAGATACAGGACAAGAGTACAGAGGATTAACAATGTCAGAAAGGTCACCTTATTAAGGCTAAATCCCTGGTTCATATTTTCACACATTCATAAAATTACATTCAAATTATTCCTTATTGATACTTATTCCTTATGCCATGAGAAAAGGGAAAAAAATCCAGACATTAGATTTTCATAGATAGCAAATCTGGATTAGTCTAAATACTGTTCTCCTTTTTGTTTGTTCTGACTTAAGATTTACTAAAGGGAGATATTTCCTTATTTGAATAGCACGTGCATTTTATTAGCTATTGGTATCATTCCTATAAGTGGTTAAGACCTCCCCCACTCTGGGGTCTCCAATCAGAACCACAGGGGACAGGAAATGGAACTGGCCACAGTGGCTAGGTGTACAGCAAGCGTTTCCATTTTCTTTCAAGGAAGTTAGCAACAACTCAGTGTTCACTTTGCTTAGGGACTGTGTTAACTATCAGCACATCCAGATCACTGGGCGAAGCGTTTCTATACCTCTACCATTGCTGATGAGGAAAAAACTGTAAGACTTCATCGACCCCCAAAATATCTCGTCACTTTAGACTTCCTAAAGCATACTATGGGATGGCATGTACCCTGGTTTGGGATTTGCTTGTTAAAGCCATATCTGAGTCTTGCTAGCACATGGCATATGTGCATCGACGGTCTGCAGATTAACTCGGGGAATGAAACAGCCACTGACTGACACTACCTGAAATCTCATTCTAATGCAATTCAAGCTGCCACCATTTTAGATCTTGGGGTTAAAAACAGTTGTCAGTTATGATAAGCACCTCACAAAACTCCACTGTCTACCACTGACTGCCTTTCATTCCCGAGGAGAAAAACTGCAAGACTGAGAAGATGAAGTGCTTATATTCCTTGGTTTCCAATGCTAAACATCAGTGTGTGAGCTTTGCATTTCCTGCTATAAACTTGGAGTGTTTCAGACCTGAAGAGACAGTGTATATGGCATTCCTTCTCTTAACCCAGGATGTTTCTTCCTAATGAACATCTTGAATTTCCACATAAGACACACACTGCAGCCAACTTCAACACCATGCAAATTTGAACAGAAAAAGGCAACGTATAAACTGTACATTTGTTCAAATAAATGTAGACAAAAAATCAAATATACATATGACACAAACTACCCATTAAAAACTGCTTACATTAAATTAAGTGACAATTCAATATTATTCCAGTGTTTAGCTTTGAGAACAGGAAATGTAGCTAAAGTCATCACAAAAATAAAACGACATTCACATTTGAGGTTGTTTGTCACACATCACACCATCCCTAAAGGCTTGAAAAGACTACAAATCAACTTTCCATGCCAGTGTGAAAATCCCCTTAGTTTAAACATTTATGATTTAACAAGCTATTGCATTATGGTCCTAAGAGACAGATGTTGTTAGGACAAAGGCCTCTATATATGTTTAACTTCCCCCAACCCCACCCATGTTCCTTTCCTTAAAATGTCAAATGACTTTCAGGTCATTCTTTCCTTCTGATCTCAAAGTCAATTGTCAGAGTATTTCCCTCAGATATAATTTTAGTCCAATCTGAACAAGTGTTGTGTTAACAACCATTTGTCAATCTATTAAATATTAGTATACAGTACAGCAGCTATATTCATCACAGAATTCCAGTTTATTACCTGTATATATAGCACAGTCATCAAATTATACTGTGCTCCTATATAAAAAATGCAAAAACTGTCAAAGGTGCTATGTCCTTTCATGTATATAAAAAACTTCATTATGAGAAACTTTAACAATCAACACAGTTTATATGAACATCTGCCATTCATAAAAATGTAACTTACACATTCTGTTGTACTATGCAGATCAGAGAAAGGAAGCAAGGTTATCAAATCAGTTGTGACAACTTAAGGAAAATTCAAAAAATCATATCTTTAAAAAGATCATCATGCGCTTAACTAGATCAGAGTCTGTAGTAAAGTCCAATCCACAAAGCTTGAGCTAAAAATTGGTGCTTCTAACGGAATGTTTTTCAAGAATTAAAACAAGTGAATTCAAGTCTATGAGTAGCTCCAGACCAATGTGGCACCTTAAAAAATATTTTAATCACTCTAAACTATTTAATGTATTTTTTGTAGTGAGTTCTCGAAATCTGGTGTGTATATACTTTCAGCACAAAAAATTTTTAAGGATAGTATTTCTGATGACTAAATCAGTTACCTAAATAAAATTTTGCCCAGTACACAGAAGCACAGTCCCTACCCACCCCCCAATTCCCATGAAGTCATTTAAGTTAACTGTTAAATAACATTAATATTTGTAACTATGTGAGACATGGGCTGCTGAGTATATACACACACGTTTTTAATGGAACTATGCCTAGGCAGAAAAGATTTAAGTGAAAACGAAAGGTTTTTACATGGATAAAACCTTTGAAAGCTTCCATTTAGAATCCCCAAATGAGGCAAGAACCAAAAGCCATAGGGAATAAAGACTGCTGTGCACAAATTAGCTATGGGGATTTTCTTCTCACTAGTTTGAGATCTAGCAACAGGCCTACATTGCGTGCCACCTTACCCTCACAGTCTTGCTGAAGTATCAGGTTTACCTTCATACTGACAGTGCCAGATCAAGTCCAATCATGCCACAGATGGATGTTTCCTTCACCTCAGCCAAGTGGACGGCACCCACTGAGGTTCAGTATCAAGTTTGTTAATTAACCTAAGTAATTCCTGATAGGCTTTATCAAGATCTGAATTCACAATTGCCGTGTCAAAGTAGTGACCATTGTTCTGCTCCATTTCTCTAGTTTTCTCAATGATTTCTCTCAACTCTTCTGGCTGTAAAGAGTAGATAAAAAGTGTGAAGTTAACGCCTTACCAAAGGTGGCCAAGGAACAAGTAAACTGCTTTCCTTCTCTCAAAATACTCCACCTCAGGAGCTCCTTCCCAGCCTTGTCATGCCCACAGTGACTTCCTTTGCTCTTCTGGCATCTTCAGGACTCACACTGTGAGTCATTTGGGATGCAATATAATCTATTTATACTGTGATTTAGGTTTTCATATGTTTCTGTCTTATCTCACCCACAAGACTTCAAGAGCAAAGACGATTACTTTGAGTTCCCCACAGACATTCATTTTAAAATGTTTTAGGGCATCCTAACCTCTTCCTAAAAAGAACATCTTCTGTAACACCGAGTGAACCTTTATGGGTGGAGCAGGAGTGGCAGGACCCAAAGCGCAAACTATTCTTGGCTCTTATAGAGCCCCTGTTCTTTATTGCAGAGTTAGGCAAGTTAAACATCTTATTGGAAAAGCAAAGGATCAATAGAATGGATATCTTTTTTTAATGAAAATATTGCTGGTCAACCCAAGATTTAATAATTGAATACAGCTGACCCTTGAACAACACAGGTTTCAACTGCACAGGTCTACTTACAGGCAGATTTTTTTCAATAAGTATCTGTATAACTGTTTTCGATCCGAGGTTGGGAGTCTGCGTATATGGAGGGCCAATTGATCTACACCATTTTATACAGGGCACTTGAGCATCTTCGGATTTTGGTATCCACTAGGGGTCCTGAAGCCAATCTCCCACATGTAGCTAAGTACATACTCAGCTTAATATGTTAAATTTCTACTTTGTTTTCAATACACAAAGGTCTTTAAGATGCAAAAACTATACTAAGAAGAGTCTGGGAAACAACAAAGAGCAGGCTACTTTCAAATATTGGGTAAGGGAAACAACTATTTCACATAGACAAGCAGGTGGCAAGGCTGTGTGCCTCTGATGATCAGGCACAATTGTTCAAGAAAGTGAAACTGCCTCCAAACCACCCCTGTCAATAAAGAAAACTAAACTCAAGTCCAAATGTGTGATATAAAAGTTACCCACTATATTGGACCCATAATACAAAACTAGTTATATCATTTAGCTGGTTGAACTTCTGTAACAGCAGGAAAACATATTAAAAGTCTGACAGCTCTGGCTTGTCCTGAGGCAGTGGCTTGTGTAGCTCTCTCATTTTCATTCTGGAATGTTGTGCATCTGGCTGTGGTACACAGAATCCTTTGTTCCCTAACAAGGACTCTGCTCCACTATTGTAACCAAACACACTGACATTCTTGCTGAAACTTATGTGTACTCAAAGCTTAAGATTATTGAAAGAACATTCCAGAACTCAAAACAAAATATAAACTTTGTGGTGCTAGAGTTGAAATGTAAATGTTAAACCTAAAATCTTACATAGATTCATATGAATATCCAATCTACCTAGTTTTTATCAAATTTAAGGCATTATTTAATCTTTTCCCAAAAATGGCTTTTATATCACTTATTTTGTTTTAATTTCCTCTTATTTTTCAAATTATAATTCATGACTAAAATGAAACAAAATGTTTTTGCTCAAAATTAGCCTACAGGGAAAGTGACTAAGTTCAGACTATCAGTTTGCCACTCTCAAGGCCCCCTTTAGCAGAACAGATTCTGAGATTCAAAGTACAATCAATTGATTTTTTACATTCTGTACCCAGAGAAACACCAGCACTTTCCTAGCTAGCACAATTTCATTCACTTAAAAGTGAGGATTTGTTTTTATTCAACACTTCTATTTTGTGAGTGATAAAGCACTATTGGAAATACCAAAGGGGATAAAAATAAAACATAAATGAAATTAAAAGGCAACAAATACATCACCCTCTATCCAACAAATACAGAATATATATTCTTACTAGTGTGTATGGAACATACACCAGTACAGAACACAAGTTGGACCATAAAATAAGGTTCAACAAATTTGAAAGACTGATATCTTACAGAGTATGTTCTTTGACCACAATGGAATTATAAATCAATAAAATATTTTTTGAAATCTCCAAACAGGTGGAAATTATATACTTCTAACAACCTATGGGCTAAAGAAGAAAATGACATAGAGAATTAGAAAGTATTTTAACAAAATAATAATGAAAAATATAACCTCAAATTCTATAGGACACAACACTAAAGAACTGCTGAGAGAAATTTGTAGCTTCATATTAGAAAAGGAGATTTAAAACTCATCTACTGAAGACAGCAGAGCAAGTACAAATTAATGCAAATTACAACAAAAGAATAAAAATAAGACATGTCAATTAAATAGAAAACAGACAAAAAATAAAGAAAATTAACAAAGACAAAAGTACTCTGATTTAGTTCTTTTCTAAAGGGTTTCGCTCATTCCTTTTAATTTCCATATAATTTAAAAAATATATATTTTATTGATTTTTTAAGAGAGGAAGGGAGAGAGATAGAGAGTCAGAAACATCAATGAGAAACATCGATCAGCTGCCTCCTGCACACCCCCCACTGGGGACGTGCCCGTAACCAAGCCACACGCCCCCGACCGGAATCGAACCTGGGACCCCTCAGTCCACAGGCCGACCCTCCATCCACTGAGCCAAACCGGTCAGGGCTCCATATAAATTTTAAAATCTTTTCAATTTCTACAATAAAGCCTGCTGAGATTTTTTGAAATGGTAACAGATTTCTTGATATATATATAGTCACAGAGTTGTGCAATCAACACCACAATTCAATTTCAGAACATTTTCATCACTCCCCATCCCCACCCCCCAAAAAACTATACCCATTAGCAGCCACTCCCCATTTTCTACCACCCCCAGCCCTAGGCAACCACTAATCTACTTTCGGTCTCTATAGAGTTGTCTATTCTGGGCATTCCATAAAATGGAATCATACACTATATGGTCTATGTTATACTATGTATCACTTCATTCCTTTTTATGACTGTTTCCCAAGACTTAAAATAAAGCTACAGTATTCAGTGCAATATTAGCATAAATATGTGAATCGAGTCCAGAAATAATCTATAATCTCCCCTGAAACCCTCCTCCCTGATCCTCCCCCCTCCCCCCCTGCCAGTATATGTGGTCATTTTCTTTTTACAAAAGTGCCAATGTAATTCAATGGGAAAAAGGATAGTTGTTTTTTTTTCTTCAAGAAATGATTCTACAGCAACTGGATAGCCACATGTGATTTAAGAAACAAAACAAAAAGCCAATCTCCACTCTTGCCTCACACTAAAACAGAGATGAACCTGAGATAGATCACAGAACTAAAAGTAAAAGCTAACACAAGAAAGTTTTTTAAGAAACCAAAGGATGAAATCTTCATAACCTGGAGTAGACAATTTTTTTTAGTATAAGAAAATCAATAACTATAAGAAAAATGAAAAAAGTGTACTTCATTAAGATTAAACATTTCTGATCTTCAAAAAAATTAAAAAGATACAAAGACTGAGAAAATATTTATATACAGATATAGAGAATAAGAAAAATAACAATTAAAAAATAAGACTTGAGGCATTTCACAAAAGAACATGCCTAAACGATTATGTGAAAAGATACTATCATCAGTCAACAGGAAAATGTATAATGATAACACTTCATACCTACTAGAATTAAAAAACTGCTACATACAATAGTAAAAGTTGGTAAAAATGTGGAGCCAATGGAACCAAAGTGAGAGCATAAAATGGCAAAATGTTTTTAACACAATTTGGCAGTTTTTATACAGTTAAACAGGCATGTAGCATCTGACGCAATTCAAGAGGATGAAAACATGCCTACCAAATGACTATGAATGTTTAGGGCAGCTTTGGTCACACTAGCTAAAAATTGGAAACCACCCAAATATTTTTAACTGGTAAATGGACAAATTGTAATATATTTAGATCATCTCTATATATAAAAGCCTAAGCGACCATCACAACTGAACGGAAGACCGAACAGGCTATGTGGGGTGACCAGGCTGGCAGGGGCGTTAGTGAGGAACAACCAAATGACTGAGCAGCAGGCTGCAAAGATGGCAGCGCCCACAGCCAATAAGGAGGGAATATGCTAATTGACTGCCATGCCCGCAAAGATGGCGGCGCCCACAGCCAATAAGGAGGGAATATGCTAATTGACTGCCATGCCCGCAAAGATGGCGGCGCCCACAGCCAATAAGGAGGGAATATGCTAATTGACTGCCATGCCCGCAAAGATGGCGGCGCCCACAGCCAATAAGGAGGGAATATGCTAATTGACTGCCATGCCCGCAAAGATGGCGGCGCCCACAGCCAATAAGGAGGGAATATGCTAATTGACTGCCATGCCCGCAAAGATGGCGGCGCCCACAGCCAATAAGGAGGGAATATGCTGACTGCCATGCCCTCAAAGATGGCGGTGCCCACAGCCACAAGATGGCTGGCAGGGGAGGGCAGTCGGGGGCAACCAGGCCAACAGGGAAGGACAGTTGGGGGTGACCAGGCCAATAGGGGAGGGCAGTTAGGGGCAAGCAGGCCAGCAGGAGAGGGCAGTTGGGGGCGACCGGGTCGGCAGGGAAGGGCAGTTAGGGGCAACCAGGCTGGCAGGGGAGGGCAGTTGGGGGCCATCGGGCCGGCAGGGGAGCAGTTAGGCGTCGATCAGGCTGGCAGGGTAGTGGTTAGGGGGTGATCAGGCTGGCAGGCAGAAGCAGTTAGGGGCAGGCACGCAGGCAGGCGAGCAGTCAGACATCCCCCGAGGGGGTCCCAGATTGGAGAGGGTGCAGATTGGGCTGAGGGACAACCCCCCCACTGCACAAATTTTGTGCACCGGGCCTCTAGTGGTATATATAGCACTTAGCAATAGAAGATATGAACTACTGTTAGATGCAATATAGATCAATATCAAAACATTATGCTGATTTAGAGCCAGATGCAAACTTAAACATACTGTGTGGTCCCATTTATATTAACTTCAAGAACAGACAAAACAAATCTATAGTGACATAAAGCAGATTAGTGGTTGCCTTGGGAAGACTGCAGGGGTAGTAACTTAAAAGGAGCATGAGAGAATGTTTTGGAGTGATGAAAATGTTCTAAATCTTGATTGGCATGGTAGTAGCACAGGTATGTGTTTTGCCAAAACTCACTGAATTATACAAGTAAAATGTATGCATTTTATTTATGTACAGTAACTTCAATAAAGTTGATTTTTAAAAATCAGAAAATTCTAATTAGAAAGTCAAGCATATTGTATACCATTAAAACATGTTGGTACTGATTAAGTCCATGCTTTAAAAATAGGTATAATTGGTATCTTTCTAGACCTCACTCAAATTAGGATGGCTAATTCAAAATAAAGTAGGTAAAAAATTCCATGAGAGCACTGCCAAAGAACACTAACCAAAAGAAAGTTGCTTACCATGTTTTGGACTGGTGTATAGCCTTTGGTACAACATTAAATCCTTGTTGAAGAAGAATAACCTAACTAAAAAAGAGCGTGCATGCTCGAAACAGAGAATAAGGCTGAACAAGCAGAATGGCGTTCACTGGTCCTTAAGGTGCGTCCCTTTCCTTTTCTTGTTTACCAAAGTAGTTACTGGGCACTAAGTTTCATAGAGGATTAACCTTATTTTTCTTATTATATGTTGTGATCCTCCTCAAAAATAGCAAGTGACCATGTTTCATATTTCTTGTGTATCATCCCAAGTGCTAAGGACACTCTGATCCCACTTACTTATGAACTTATAATTGTGCTGCAAAAAATAAAGAAGGGGTGAAACACTACTTTAACCAGCTAGTCTACTTAGCTTAAACTTTACGTTCAACATATAGGATGGGGAAATCCCTGATGTCTATAGCCTAAACTGTGGTCGGCAAACTCATTAGTCAACAGAGCCAAATATCCACAGTACAACGATTGAAATTTCTTTTGAGAGCCAAATTTTTTAAACTTAAACTATATAGGTAGGTACATTGTTATTAACTTAGTTAGGGTACTCCTAAGGCTTAGGAAGAGCCACACTCAAGGGGCCAAAGAGCCGCATGTGGCTCGCGAGCCGCAGTTTGCCAACCACGGGCCTAAGACATTGAAAAATACTAGCTTCACATATATACAGACTAAGAAATGTAAGTAGACCTAGAGTGAAAAAGTGTATCTTGAGGTAGGAGGGTTGCTGGCTGTGGTAAAGTCAAGAATTGAAGGAAAAGCGTGTTGTTATATGCTTTGAATAACTTTCAAGGAAGAGCATTATTACATGTTTTTATGGCTTTTAAGGAGAGTTAGGGGCATAGCAAATGAAATAAGTGACTCCACTATTAAATAGAAATATTATAAAAATCAGAAAAAAACAAGGAAGAGTAAATATTTGTTACTTTGACAAAGTAATCCACATGATAGTTTTTAGTTCACACATTTAAATAAAAAGCCAGTGCTTTCTGATTACCAGTATACTATCACTGAATTATTAATGTTTAGTATATAATAGACTACCTCAAACATGTCCAGCATCTAAAATAATTTTAAAAATTTTCCATTTCAGATCATGTAAGAAGATCAAAGGGAGGAGCCAAACAGAATATAAAGTTTCAATGAGAAAAAAGAGAAAAACAAGGGCACTCAATGTTGGCTCCCCACACATGCAGAATATCTACGGAGAACAGTGGGCAATCCCTAAGAATATGATGATCCCTTTTTGTGTGTGTTAGAGGCATCACATAATCCCTGCTGGAAATACACACATCCATGTGAAGATCAAGGAAGTGTTAAGGAAAGCCAAATCTGACCATACATTTGGGGTACAATAGGGAATGTGTGGGGAACAACAAGAGAAGCCACCTTCTTTGGAGAGCTGCACAGTCTAACCAGAGGCAACCATGGCAATATGGGGGAAAGTGATATGACAGAAAGAATAATCACTTTGAAAGCTCAAGATGATGTAGTTTTTAAGTACTGTGACATAATAGGCCACGAGCGTTTCATGTTTACTTTTAGTGGAATAGTACAACAATATATAAAACTCTACCTTTGGATTCTTGCCCTCTTTGGCCAACAATGCCCGAAGTCTTTCTTGTGAAGGGGGGGCAATAAAAATAATATATGGTTTCAAGTCTGAATTCCGGAGAGTCTTCAATGACTGAAAAGAAAAGATATTTTGGATCTTTAAAGTAATTGTCATGATTTAACTACTTCCCAATAATATATTTGGAATATAATAATGTCATTAAACAGCAATAACAACATAACCTATGAGTGTTTCCAAACATCTTTGTAACAAAAAATTCACAATATTTTAAGATCCTACCACTCACTGTAAAAATATATTGTGTACCTATAAAATCACACACACAAACACACACTATTGGCTCACTCTTTTTATGTAATGAAATAAAAATGAATGACTAAAGGATTACAACTATGTAATGTTAAAATACCCTGCTTTAAGATCACATGCAGATTATAACAACCATATTAAAAATCCATTTTAGAGAAAGTAGAAATGAGCAGTCACTTTACAATGTGGCAGGGTCTAAAGGAAGCACAAACTGAGAGAAAAACTTCACACACACACGCGTGCACACACACACACACACAATTTTGGAAAAGCACATCCTAGAAAAGGAGACTATCTGAATTGGGAGGTGCGGCTTTCTTTCTTTTTTTTTTTTAATTTTTTAAAAATCCTCACCTGAGGACATTTTTCCATTGATTTTTAGTGAGAGTGTAAGAGAGAGGGAAAGAAAGAGAAATATCCATGTGAGAGAGACACATCGATTGGTTGCTTCCTCACAAGCCCCGAACAGGGTCTGGGCCGGGGAGAAGCCTGCAACCAAGGTATGTGCCCTTGACCGGAATCAAACCTGGAACTCTTTGGTCCACAGGCGGAAGCTCTATCCACTGAGCCAAACCAGCTATGGCGGGAGGTGTGGCTTTCACCTCGCCTTTGCCACCACATGACAGTGTGCCATCAACTGAAGCACTCCATCAAAATGGGAATTACAGGGACATACCCCCCTTTTATTAACCTAAAAACATTAAGACAATATGTTTAACTTCTCAATGTTCTTTGGTACATCTGCTGGCACAAATAATGTAAGAATTCTGAAGGAGTTTAGTAAAAACATTTATACTTCTCTCAAATGTTTACAAGTGAAATAGTAGACTAAACTCTTTTATCTACTAAAAACAAAACAAAACAAAGAAAATCTAATTATTATTTTAAGAGAGTCATTTTATTTATCTTCATTATTATTATTTTGCAATCCTCATTAGAGGATATGTTTTTATTGATTTTTTTAGAGCGAGAGAAAGGGAGAGAAAGAGCTAAACATTGAGTGGTTGCTTCCTGTATGTGCCCTGACCAGGTATCAAACCTGCAACCTAGGTATATACCCTGAATGGGAACTGAACTCATAACCTTTTGGTGTATGGGACAACACTCCAAGGGAACCATTTTAGAGTCAATTTCCTTTCCTATACATCTATTTTTTAACCACTGCTTATAGTTCCTGAGTTGACATACTCAGTAGATTCATTAAGTTTTAGCCTGAAGCTGTCTAGTCTAGAAAAACTTTTCCACAACGAACAATCTTAAAAATCCCAAATCTCTAAGTTACTATACTAAATTTTAGAAAATATTTACATGTATATGTGTAGGTATGTATGTATTTGACTCTGAGGAAATCGAGATTTAGCAATCTGTCTGATTTCAGATAGGGAGTCAGTGGGGAAAAGCTGTATAAGAACTTAATTATGTCCCGTGGTTCTTGGACCAAAATATAGTTTCCACTAAATTACTTTGCAAAAAATGCCCTCAAGTTCAACACCCTAAACCAAAACAGCTTTACCTGTGTACGAAGACTTAAAAGACATATTTTCCCAGAGTTGATCACTTGCCGTACAGAATCAATGCTGGTTCCATACAGATTTTTCTCAAATTCACCATGCTCAATGAACTTTCCAGCTGCTATGTCTGCTTCGAATGCTTGCCGAGAAACAAAGTGGTAATCTCTACCAGCTACTTCGTGGTCTCGCCTATTGCGAGTTGTATCTAGACAGACAAATCCAGGTAAAAATAATTGGTATTGATCATGGTAAGGATGGAGGGTAATTTTGCTAATCAGAAAAAAGTTTTATTTCATAATACAGATTATAAAATAATGAACTGAGGAAATGTTAAGAACCCCGTGTTTAATTTAACACTGGTTTTATTTCTAGATTGAGAAATGAACAAAAATTTGTTTTTCGTGTGCTATTAATAGTTATATTAATAACAATATATTTTATGTTTACACTTTAAATTACTTCATCTTGCATTTAAAACACTACTATTCACCTTTTCTGAAGTTTACTTAGGTGCTATATAAGGTACCATATAATTTTAAAACAGAACTTCTGTGTTCAGAGATTTGTCTAAATTTCCATCTTCTCCATCAGTTGTTGAAACCAGATGATTCCATATTGAACAGGGAATTATAAGAAGTGCAAAATGAAATTCATTTAGAAAGTGATCAGTACCATATTCTTAGGAAAATTGAAATTTCTCAAGAAGATCTGGTTAAAACAGTTTTTCTTTCCTGGACAACAATGTTTTGATAAAATGAATGAAAAATTGCCCATGTAAGTTAGATTCTAAAGCGGTGAACTGAAAAGCACAGGAAAACGGGAATGCATCCAAACTTACGAGGAACTGCAGCTGCAAAGCGGTCTTTCTCTTTGTTCATGAGCCTCTGACGTAATTCATTCTGGCCACAGTTCTGTGGACCAATCAAAATGATAGGTCTTTTCCTATTTGCTGGCTGATGATAAAGTGACATTTCCTCATAAGTTAAGATTTCTTCATTGTCATAGTCTTTAGAAAAAGAAAAAGTTAAGCTCTTTAGACAGAATTATTGCTATGTAATAAATATACACTCATAGATCTTCCGAAAAAACTGAAAAGAGCACAATTTATTATTAAAAACACTTAACTTTTTGGATCAAGAGAGTATATCATGAGTATTTTCCCCTGTCATTATAGCCTTTCCAGGATACTATGAAAATAAATCAGACAATATATGAATCATTCTAGAAATTTCTATTGCTTCTCTTATTTCAGACTGAATGTTTAATATAATATCACAATACTGATCCTTATGTAAAATAGCTAGTTTGCAGCCAGTACTTTTATGGGGGAGGGGGGGCGCACCAGGTGATAAACTAATGAGAATAACATCTACCATTTTTGTAAAATGATGTTACTAACACATTATTTAGAGGGCTGGTTTAAGGATCAGACGTAATGTGCATGCTGAGCACAATACGTGGCATGAACATTCAAAATAGTGGCTACAACCAGAGATATCAGAGAAAGCTGGAATACTTTTCTGAGATTATATAACTTGCCATCACACTTCCTGCTTTTATATTTACTTTGTTCTGGAATACTTGAGGTCATGATTCAAGAAGAGGTATAAATTACGATAGGTGGGGTAACATTCCTAAAGCCCATAATTCAGATGAAATCAGAGCTATTAAGCGGTAAGAACAAAGGTAGACAATAGCAGCCTGCCATCTTCTCACGCATACCAGTTCATCTGACTGGAAAAGAAGGTCAGATGTGTAGTCAGACCCTCCCAGCTGCAAGTTCCATGGGGGCAGGGGACCATCTTAGCTGTGCCAGTGCTTAGCACAGAGCACAGAGTAGGAACTATATTTGCTTAAATTTCAGCTCAACCATATCTTAGTTGTAAGAACTTAAGCTGGTTACTTTAATATCTGAATTTGAATTTATTAATCTGAATGCTCAAGGAATTTATTGTGAGAACTAAATGGATGAAGGTATTGAAAGTATATATAGTTAGCCTCCCTAGAATAAAAGTTATTATAAATGAGTTATTATTAATAAAAATATTAATTATGACAACACCTTCCCTTTCCAAAATACTTTTCACTCTGAAAAACCAGAGTTCCTTCTTCTAACATGTATAATCAGACTGTGGCAGCACTGTGATTTACAGACTTGGTTTATAATCAGATTTGCAAAATTTCTAGAGTATAATAACTTCATTAGAGCTGAATTAATTAATTTTAGTGCACTTCAAAACATGAAAAACAGATTTAATCACCTACCCAAATATAGAGTAAAGGATTAAAAATTCAATAAATCTTCTTAGTTACATAAATATAACAAAGCGTTAAGGTTGTTTATTTTGGAAAAAAATTTTATTAAAGTAAATAGAATCTCTGATATAGTTTTATATGGAGTTTTTCAACAATCTATAACAGTTTTTTCATTGATTTAACTTATGCTGCCTAAAAAGACTTCAAGGTACTGAGAGAATAAGTCTTACAAATTGTTTAAGAAGTTAAGGATTGCCTTGACTTTATTATTTGGCTTGTTTCTAACATGAACCAAAGCAGAGGTAGAATATCTACTGCCCATACGGACCAACCAAGAAGGTAATGAGAGCAGGAAATCAGGTTTGGTTTATAAAAATTGGATGTTGTGGAAACTGTTAAACTAAGACAGTAGTAGGTGCCCAATATAAAGGCAACAGCCATCATCAGGTACAGCAGAGTGTTGTCACCTGGGAATATGAGTCACATGTTATTAGAGCTTTTGATTTTAAAAGAAGTATCAACTTTAAAATAGAACAAAAAAACTCCATGTACCTGACTCTGCCAGCAGGTAGCAGGCTCTGTGGAATGAGTTGTCTTAGTAACAGGAGTTATTATAGATAAAGTATTGTTTACTTAAAATACAGCTATATTGTCAGAATTTGTTAGAAGCATGTATCAATTTCACAAAGAGTTTGAGTAGAAAAAAATTAGAGAAATTTCAATTCTATTTCCTCAAAATTAGAGAAATATCAATATAACACTATATATATTCATTGTACTTTAATTTTTATATCAATTTTTCTCCGAATTCAAAACACTGCATTACTCATAGGATTCTAAAAGAAAATAATTTTTGTTAAATGACTTTCTTAAGCCGTTGTGTCACATTAAGAGGCAAAACAGGACCAGAAACAAAACTACCTGAAAATATCAATTTAATTTCTTTCAAGTGCTAAATATTGGGCCTCTTTCATATATAAATTTAGTTATCTCTGAGAGTGGAACTTACCATCATTTTTATTGGCATTATATAAAACCTTTTTCCTTTTCTTTTTATTCTTCTTTGCACACCATAATTTTCCTGTTGAATAATCATAAACATAACTATAAATGTGGTATTTGTTTCCTCAAAAAAGCTACATATTTCAAATAGAAGCACTCAAATAGTTAATTTAAATTTATAAACATTACATTTTTCATAGAAAAACTACTTTCCAGGGAAGTATTTACAATTTTCTATTAATCTCACATTATAGACCAGCAATCTTTAATATTTAAATCCTGTCCTTTCTTTACAGTTCTAAGATAACCAGTTTTGCCTTTCACATCACTCTTGCCATAATATATCTTTCATCCCAGTTCTAACTGATATGTAAATTTAAACATACTTACAGATGAAGACCCAAGAAATCTCTTATTAATGCCAAATAAAAATGTCCAACCTGATTTTTCTGGCTCCTTGTCTTCCTCTATGGTTTGCTTCATGGCTTCCCTTTGCTGTTGAAAGCTTTTCCCTTAACAGCAGAAAGGAAAAAGAGTAAAATATTTAAGACAGAAGAACAGAAGTATTTTTTTAAAAAATCAAGGGAAAACACCAGGAGTAACTACTCATTTATATTCCCTCCTAATTCCTTCCGCCACCTATGAGAGTATATCAGCTATGATTATAAATACGCCTCCAAATGTTTAACATATTACGTTTCAACCTCAGTCTCAACCAATTCTAAGACATTTATTACTAGACTATCTCACCTATTAGAAAAGATAAATCATAAACTAGTGTTAGAAAATTTAATAGTTCAGTTTTTACAAAGCTTTCATTGAGTAGTTACTAAATGGAAAGTACTATGCTGAATCTTACAACACTTCTGATCATTCAGAATTACAGGAAATCAAGCAAATTCATTCTAGAAGTTAACTTTACAAAATAATATGTGAACATTCATCACTTTTTAATTCCAAGACACTACTCAACATATTCCCTTTCATTTATCCTTTTCTTTCCCTCTTTTTCTTTGTATGTATATATATGTATGTATGTGTTTTAATGATTTTTAAAATTTCCACCTTTACTAATGATACAAATAAATGGAAACATATTGTTTTTCCTCTAAGGATTTTGTTTTTAATATAGGAAGCTTTCAAGGTTTTTGACCTTCATTTTCTTTTAAGACATCTACTTTAAAACCAAATGAATTTTTTCTGAAGGCTGAAAATAATTTTACTTCAAAAATTCTGTATTAGAAGTCTACTTTTACATTTTATTTTTATATCTAATTCTTCCCATTTCACGCCAGGGATTCTTAAACATCGATAGGCAATTTCCATCTGTCTACAGGAATAACCTGTAGAATGCAGTGTGTTTCATAAAAGCACAAGTGAAAATATTGAGTTTGACACACATAAGAACCATTAAAGGAAACCAGGTTATCTCCAGAGCTATACAGATTGCATTTCTAGTGAAACAAATAACTATGACTAGAAGGAAAATTTTAAGAGCATTAATATTTAAAAATGACTATTTGTCTTTAACAGAGTAAAAAAAATAAGGAACAAAATCCTAATATATAAAAAGCCAGGGGCCGTAACAACCAAAACGACTGGATGGACGACCGAACAGCAGGCTAGGGAGCTGAGGGAGCAGGAGGAAAGGTCACCATGAGGTGACCCCCGCCTGGATCAGGGGCGTGGCTAGCCTTCAAACCGCAGGTGGCCCCTAGCCCAGGCCAGCCAGTGCCCCAGAGGGGATCCCCACTATGATCGGGGGCATGGCCAGCCTTCAAAACGCGGGTGGCCCCTAGCCTGGGGAGGCCTCCTAGCCGAGGACGCCCGAGTCTGTTCTGGACCTAGGGCTGCGCTCTCCCCGCGAGCGACTTGGAAGCCACCAGTGTCCACCAAAAAGTAGGACCATTGAACCGTTCACAGTCTCAGTGCAGGCATGGGTCCGTGGCTGATGGGATGGAGGCCAAACCAAAACAAAACAGCGGAAAGATCCTGCCCACCTTGGTGGGTGCAGCTGCAGTCCACATGGGCCTGGGCAGTGTAGAAAGTGCTACCTTCTCCCGGGTCCTGTGCTGGCACTACCGCCTTGCTCACCCTCAAGCCCCCCCGAGTCCTGACAGCAAAGTGTGTAGGTCATCCTGCAGGAGTTGTGCCATTCTGGGTGCTTTTGCCCAAAGATACCCTTTGGGATGAATTCAGAGCCACATCTCACTTCTCATGAGACTGGAAGAACCATGTAAAAGGAATTCGACAAAAGCTTTCCACATCTGTTTATTCTTTTGAATGCATAAAACGACCTTAAAAAAAGCATTCGGGCCACCTAAGAGAGAATGTACTTTCTGGCCAGAGCATGCAGGATTCTTTTGCCCAACAGGTTAAAGGAAGCAGAGAGCTGGCACAGTAGAAATGGCTTTGGTGCCCTATGAGGAGACCAAGGGAATGGGGTTGTAGAAATTCCACAAGCCTCTTGCCACCTTCTCCTTTGCAAACCACACCATCCAGATCCACCAGGACTGGAGGCAACTGGGAGTCGCAGCTGTGGTTTGGGACGTGGTAAGCAAATCCTTGGGGGCCTCTGAAAACATCTGCAATTGATTATAAGACTGGTCTTTATTTAAAAAGAAATAAAAGAACAGCTTTGTTGAGATATATATATAATTCATATACTGTACATGTCACCTAAAGTGTACAATGAACTAGTTTTTTAATGTAAATTCAGAGTGGTACAACCATCACCATGCTCAATTTGTAAATATTTTCATGACCCCATCCCCTCCAAAAAGAACTTCTACCCACTAGAATCACTTTCCTGATCATCTTCCCCAAAATAGATTGCATTTTAAGGGTGGGTAAAGGAAAGTTAAGGGAAGTTAAAATACTGCACAAAGGATATTGTAAAATGACAAAGCCCAAAGTGAAGATTATGTGTTTTCTTTTTTTTTTTTAATATTTTTTTATTGATTTCAGAGAGAAAGGGAGAGGGAGAGAGAGATAGAAACATCAATGATAAGAATCACTGATCAGCTGCCTCCCACAGGCCCCCTACTGGGGATTGAGCCCACAACCCAGGCATGGGCCCCTGGCCAGAATCAAACGTGGGACCCTTCAGTCCACAGGCCGATGCTCTCTCCATTAAGCCAAATTGGCCAGGGCCATGTGTTTTCTTTAAGTTCTGCGTGGTTGTAATGGTCCCCAAATCTATACTAATAAAAGGGTAATATACTAATTAGAGTGGACGTCTTCTGGACATCCTTCCTGACAAAGCCGCAGTGGCTGCGAGGGCTAAGGCTCAGGCCGGCAGTGGCAGCAGCAGCAGCACGGTGATGGGGGCGGTGCCTTCCCTTGATCGGCCAGGTCGTCTCCCACAGAGGGAGGCCAGACTGGGGGCCAAGGCAGAGGCAGTTAGGGGCAATCAGGCAGGCGAGCGGTTAGGAGCCAGCGGTCCTGGATTGCAAGAGGGATGTCTGACTGCCGGTTTAGGCCTGATCCCACAGGGGGTCCCAGATTGGAGAGGGTGAAGGCTGGGCTGAGGACCCCCCCCCCCCCGTGCACTAATTTCGTGCACCGGGCCTCTCGTAATTTTAATAATTTACATAGTAAGATGTTTAAAAACATTACAGTGTGATACTTCTATGGCACATTTTTATAGTATGCACATGTAACTATTTTTGAGATAGAATCAGACATTAATAGGAGATGGACACTATGACCTCTAAAAAATCCTTCTAACAGAAAACCATTATCAAACTCAAACTAAGGTGGGTCCATTTATTTGTCCTATAAAAGACCTGCAAATGATATCACTGAAATCTCCTTGACTCATCTATATACTTTCAGAAACTCAATGTAATCAATCCGTCAATAAACACCAGTTCTAAATATTTATGGGCTACGCCTGGCATGGTAAGAAGATATCAAATTGATATTTGGCAGAAGCACGGAATAGAGAACATGATGGCTGCCCAATACTCCAGGATTTTTGAGGAATGTCCTGCAGCTGATATTGTGAAGAATCAAGGGTAAAGCATCAGCCACTCAACTTAGTATGAGAAGCTCATTCATTCCTCCTTTCCTGAATTATGACCAAATATAGACAAATTTGTTTCCAGCTTTTGCATTTAAAAGCAGACGACTTTTGACTTTCTGTAATCCACACACATAAAGAACAAATGTAAATATTATATTACATCCTAATTTCATCTAAAGCCCAACAAACTGGTCATAATTATATTCAAGATATTTATGCTACAGTTGCAACATAAAAACCCAACTGCATGAAAAAGCAATTACATCATTTTTAAAAGGCATGAAAAAGAGTTTCCTCCATGAAGGTCTGTTTTTTAAATGCTCTTTTAACTATATATGTACTTTCTACTATATTGTCCTTACCTGGAACAAGCCCAGCTAGAGGTTGATTATCTTCATCCCCATCCCTGTAGGCCTGCCACCAGTTTGGATCTTCCTGACTGATCACATGAAGTATGTCCCCTTTTTGAAAAGAGAGACCTAACTCTCGACATGGGACATATGGGTCATCTGAAGGGTCATAGTCAAAATGAGCTTTTACATGGATCTAAAAGATAAAAGGGGTAAAAAAAATAATGCTGAAATGGCAACACAAAATACTTAGCATAAATATAATTAAAATGTTATGGTTTTTCATTAGTGCAAAGAAATTATGAGCTGAAAGAGGGAAGTTTAGTTAAATAACAGTATTTTGGGGGCAGTATTTTCTTAGGCTCATCTGTTTTCTTCAGTTAAAGTTCATCTCTCTGTTGACTGCATACATGTACAAGGGTATGCAAAACATTATCATTAGTTACTAACAAGCTGAGGTACTAAGGAGCTTCAAGGCTTAAGAGAAGCAGAAGGAATATAATAAAGCCCCCCACCCCCACACCGCCTGTCTCCCTTCCTGATCTGTAAAAAACAAGAACTCTGTGGTGCCCCTCAGATATCTCCAACCTATAAAACAGACCTCTTGATTTTTCTCCCCAAATCTGTTTTCCCTCCCGATTTCCCTTTAATAAGCAGCACCACTATCCACCCAGTTGTTCAAGCATCCTTGCCTCCTCTTTCCTTTACCCTCCACATTCATTACAAGGTCCTGTTATTGCTACTTCCAGAACACAGCCTGATTAATTTTTTCCACTGCCACAGCTATTATCCAAGTTTAAGCCATCATCATACTTCATAATGACTTCAGCAACAGTTTCCTAAATCTCCTTGCTTCCTTATTGGCTTTACTGATCCAATTTATACACAGAAGCCAGAAATGTTTTGTTTTTTGTTTTTAAAATAAAAATCAAGTCATTTACTATATTTAAAATCCAAACTCCCTGCCATGGCCAAGGAAACCTGCTTGACCTGGCCCTATCTACCTCTCTAGCTTCATCTCATAGAGTCCCCTCCTCGCCTTTTTACTCTCCTTTGTTCCATGCCCACAGGCTTTCCAAAAACAAAGTTCTTGAGATATTTTACCTGAAAGCTCTTCTGGCAATTAACAGGCTTGGCTTCATCTTATTCTACAGTCTTGGCTTCACGCTGCCTTCTCCAAGAGGCCTTTCCTGTCCATCTTATGTAATTGATTCCACTTATTTTTACTCTCAATGTTCACACTGTGCTTATTCCTACCTTATCACTTACTGCAAACTATAATTATTTTGTCATGTTCATTATTATAAACCCAGTGCTTAGCACAGTGCCTAGTACACAAAAGAGATCCAACAGATGTTCATTGTAAGGAAAATAATTATTTGGGACTCCTAAGAATATATTTCAATAATTAAAACTAACGCCACTGGGCTAGTGGTTAATTCTATGGTTTGTATCCCTTCACTGTAACTTTAGCATCCTCCTATCCTGAGCCTTTAAGTTTCCCTTAAACCACTTTTCTCTATCCTCCCAACCTTTACCCCACAAATCAAAAGACTTCATGAAGGCATGCTCCCAGTTTTATTAAGAGTTCGTTGGACGGAAAATAAACAGTGATGCAGAAACCTAGTATTTAGTGGCTTTGTGGGACATTACCTGTTACACTACACAGCAGTTAAGAGCATAGGTTCTGGAATAGACATGGGTTCTAGTCCTGACTCAGTCACTTACCAATAGTGGGCTTGGGCAATTAACTTGACCATTCTAGTTCTAGTTTCAATGCCTGTTGAATGGGAATAATAAAGATATCTATATTTCATGGGGATGCTGTGAGAATTAAATGAGATAAAATATATAAAACAATCAGTACTGTGCCTGGCACAGAGTAAATATCATAATAGCTAACATTTATTGGATAATCAGTACTCTGAATTTTCTAGTGCATATTCCATCACTAATAAGCAGTGTGATCCCACTACATTTCAATTTACTCCTATGTTCATCTCATGGCACACATAAACTAATTACTAAAATCTATGGCACACTAAAATATATATTTTTTGCCGATCTGACAAAACAATAGGTATAATTTTAATTCATTCACACTGGAAGGCTATTATTGTGTTAGCTGTTGCATTTTCTAATTTGACAGTGTAAGGGAAAAGAGGTCAGTGCTCCTGACTAAATAGTCAGGTACTGCAGGTTTTAAAAATTCTTGGGGCACACTGTTTGAAAATCGCTGGATTAGAGCATTACTATATGAAAAATGTGCCTTCAGCTCAAATATTCTATTTCCTCTCTCCATATTTTTTCAATTATATTGTGAAATATAATCTAAAGTTTTATAGACCTCTCTGGGAATTCTAACTTGTTTCTAAGTCAATGTGGAGAGAGAGAAACAGCACAGCTTAAGCAATTCATGAGTCCTGGGATAAATGTGTCAGTCACCCAGGAAGCAAACTACAAAAGTGCCAAAACTCGTGCCCTCTGCAAATGATAAAGTAGCCACTTGTTGCTGTGTGTGATGCATAAGGGGGTACCTCTCCCGACACTTTGCTTTTGCCATTCGTGACATTATAGTTGAGCCAGTGAACGTATTACAATTTTACACCTACAGTTGAACACCTACAGTACTTTATCTACAGAAAGATACCTTTGCTCTTACTAGATCTTGACCTGTACCATAATGATGCTCAATAAACTGGTTTTAATTTCTTAATATCATAGATAATTATTCTGCATATGCCAACAAAATTTATGATTTCCTGCCCTGGCCAATGTTGTTCAGTGGTTGGAGCATCAGCTTGTGCACCAAAGGGTTCATTCCTCACCTTCGGTCGGGCACATGCAGGAGGCAACTGGTCGATGTGTTCAACTCACATCAAAGTTTTTCTCTCTTCCCCCTTCCCTCCCACTTTTTCTGAAAAGCAATGGAAAAAATATCCTTATGTGAGGATTATCAACAACAACAAATAATGATTTCTTATCACCGTTTTCTTTTTTTGAAACCTTCAGTGCAAGCTTTAATAATAGTTCATTTTAAGCCAGTTATGTTTTATAAAAACTTTACAAGAGATATTGCAATTAAGAGTTCTTCACAATAAAAGAAGGAAATGAAGGAAAAAATATTGCACAACATTGTTTCTATTTTGAAAAGATCTCTACATATCAAATACTGTATTATTTATTTTTTTAAAATCCTCACTCTAGGATATGTTTATGATTTTTAGAGAGAGAAGGGGGGGGGGAGAGAGAAACACTGATGTGAGAAACATACAAGTTGCCTCCTGTATGCACCCCAACTGGGGATCAACCCGCAACCTTTTTTGTGTACAGGATGATGCTCCAACCAACTGAGCCACCTGGCTAGGCTCAAATGCTATATTTTAAAAGAGCATCATTTCTTTTCCTTTCTCTTCCTTTCTCTTATTTATTTTTTTTGTGTTAATCCTCACCTGAGGATATTTTGCCATTGATTTTTAGAGAGTGGAAGGGAGGGGGAGAGACAGAGAGAGAAACATCAACGTGAGAGACGCATTGACCGGTTGCCTCCTGCATGCACCCTGATCAGGGCCGAGGATCGACCCTGCAACTGAGGTACCTGCTGCCCTTGACCAGAATTGAACCCGGGACCCTTCAGTCTGCAAGCTGATGCTTTATTCATTGAACTAAAATGGCGAGGGCTCTCCCTTTCCTTTTAAAGCCATATACGTAGGGTCATATTCCAACCCTCCTCTGTGTATCTTCTCTAAGAGAAGAGCTACTTTTGAAGTTTAAGGCTTGTTCGAAGGAGGTATGTGGAAAGGCACAGTGCACAAGGAATCAGGCTACTGGAATCCAGATACAAACTGTTTCCTCATTTCTCCTACAAAAGAACTTTATACAGAAGGAAGGTTGCAAATGCAATTTTAGGTTCCTAGGTCGATGCTCAATGGCTGAGCCACACCGGCTGGGCAGGGTCTGCAAATGCAATTTTAATGTGTTCCATAAGAATAAAGGAAAAGCATGGATGATGATACATTGATAAAGAAATGAAACTGTGTTCTGTTTCAAACTACTATGCTTTTATAAAAGTTAAGAGTAACAACAGATATAATAGACAGTCTTCCTTGTTAACCCAGCACTTTGAAGTTTGTAATTTTTTAACAGCTTTATTGAGATAATTCATATACTATACAAGGCACCATGTACACAACTGGATGGTTTAATTCAGAGTTATACAACCACCACAAATTTTAGAACATTTTTATCAGCCCCAAAAGAAACACCATATAGATTAAGAATACCTCCCATTCCCTCCTAACTCACCACGCCTACACCTAAGAAGCTATTAATCTACTTTCTGTCTCTGTGGATTTACCTTTCTGGACAATTCATATAAATGAACCAACACATGGCTTTTGTGACTGGCATCATTCCCTCAGCATAATTTTATCAAGGTTAATCCATGTTGAAGCATATTTTATTCCTTTTAATTGCCAAATAATATCCCACATTTCATTTTCCATTTATTAGCTGGCAGACATTTGGGTTGTTTCTACTACCTGTCTATCCTATCCTATCTAATAAAGAGGGAATATGCTAATTGACCCTTACACTGTTGCAAAGATGGCAGCACCCACAGCCAATAAGAAGGGAATATACCTAACTGACTGTCATGCCCTCAAAGATGGTGGCACCCACAGCCACAAGATGGTAGCACCCAGTCTCCTCAGCCCCGCCTGGGTGACAGGCGTGCGGCACGGCCGGGCCCGCCCCCAGACAGGTCCAGCCACTCCACACGCCTGCCTCCGGAGTCCCCCAGTCCCCTCCACACCCCAGCCACCCAGGGCCAGCTTGAGGTGCAGGCAAGCCTTGGATGGCAGCTGCCCAGCCAATGCCTGAGGCGCAGGCAAGCCTCAGATGTTGGCTTCCCAGCTGCCAAAGGCTGGCCTGAAGTGCAGACAAGCCTTGGATGGCAGCTTCCCAGCCAACCAGGGCCGCCCAAGGCTCAGATAACCAGGGCCAGCCAAGGCTTGCGCTGCTGGCAGTGGCAGCAGCAGAGGTCGCCTTCCCCTGATTGCCGGGTCACCTCACACTCCTGAGGGCTCCCGGACTGTGAGAGGGGGCAGGCCGGGCTGAGGGACCCTCCTCCAGTGCATGAATTTTCATGCACCGGGCCTCTAGTATAATAATAAAAGCCTAATATGCTAAGTGTCT